AGCGGCGACAACGCGCGCCGCAGGCCCTTCTGGAGGCTCTGGCTACTGCGCCTGCCACGCGGAAGGCAGCCAGCGGCACCAGCGGCGACAACGCGCGCCGCAAGCCCTTCTGGAGGCTCTGGATACTGCGCCTGCCACGCAGACAGCCAGCGGCACCAGCGGCGACAACGCGCGCCGCAGCCCCTTCTGCAGGCTCTGGCTACTGCGCCTGCCACGAGGACAGCCAGCGGCGACAACGCGCGCCGCAAGCCTTCTGGAGGCTCTGGATACTGCGCCTGCCACGCAGAAGGCAGCCAGCGGCGACAACGCGCGCCGCAGGCCCTTCTGGAAGCTCTGGCTACTGAGTAACGCCGGCCACTCTGGATACTGCGCCTGCCACGCGGAAGGCAGCCAGCGGCACCAGCGGCGACAACGCGCGCCGCAGCCCCTTCTGCAGTCTCTGGAGACTGCGCCGGCCACTGCGGATGTGAGGTGTGACAAGAAGGGCGAATAGATGAAGTTGTGAGTGGATATGTGAGATGAGAAGAAGTGTGTGTGTGTGTGTGTGTCAGATGATGAGATGACAAGCTGAGTGTGTGTCAGATGATCACAAGATGATTGTGTGTGTAACAGAAGGACGGAGGGAAGGAGGGAGGGACGGAGGGACGGACGGACGGAGGGAGGCAAGGACGGAGTCGGGCGGGATGGCAGCCAAAAAACTAGAACCCCACACAGAGATGTGGGGAAAAAATAGAACTTAAAACAAGGAAAAAGACCATCGACAGTCGACTAGTCAGACTCTTCAACTGGCACGGCTCTCCTCTACGTTGATGGTGCCTGGCACAGCCACCGGCTTCGGCAAAGGACGCACTTTCCTGACACGCAGATCATGTCCACTCATGTCCACTCTACATGTGGAAATACTATCTGAGATTATCTAGGGCTATCTTGGACTTGCCTCCGAGCAGGTTCTTTGGCGGCCTCTTTGGCTGCCTCTTTGGCTGCCTCTTTGACCGCAGGCTCTTTGGCCGGCTCTTTGGCTGGCTTTTTGGCTGGCTCTTTGGACTCAGCCTGACATAGCAGCAAAGAATCAACGTCAAATAAGGACAGTCTCCCACCTCAAAGGCCAATGGATTTGTGAAAAATACTGCTTGTTCTTGCTCGTACTAGCAGAAAGGG